GGCCTGTGAGGGGCTCCCATCTGGGGGGCCTGCAGACAGGGGTTCAGGCCCTCCCCAGGGATGGCTGCCCCCAGGGAACCACGGCCCGAGGCACAGGCTGGGCTCTCCGGGGAGGAGGGGCACCTGTCCAGGTCCCTGCCACCCAGCCCCCTGCCTCCCAGCCGGGCAAGGACCCTGGCAGGTGCCACCGAGCGTGTGTCCAGGTCTGTGGGGCTCCCGACGAGGACAAGGCCCAGCACCAGGCAGGGGCAGCCGCCTGCACTGCCCTCGAAGGTCACACCCACCTTCTTTGCAGGAAACATCTCTGCAAACACCCAGATCCCAGCAGGGCCAGGCCCGCCTCCCACCCGCTGGCTGGGACCCACAACAGGCCTCTCCTGCCCCCCCCACCTCCCCACAGCTGGTGCCTCTGGGAGGCCCACAGGCCAATGGGCAGCCTATAAGGCAGCAGGTGTGGCTGTGGGTGGCCCGAGGCAGCGGCCCCCACCCTCCCTCCTGGGCCTGCGTCTCCACCCCCCAGTCTCAGGCGCTGGCTGCCCAGGCATCCGGCCCCCCTTCCCAGGGAGCCTCCCAAAATACCCACCAGGACACAGCTCCCCGCCCCACTCGGCCGCTGCCCTCCAGCTCTGGCTCAGCCCCCAGAGCGATCGGGGCCCAACAAGCCACACCCCCTCAGTTCTGCTTTCCCTGGACCACAGGGGTGGGGGTGGAGGTGGGGGGTACCCAGGCCCCAAGGCCTTACCCAGGCCCTCAGGCCGCAGGCTGACCTCACCCCTTGGGCTCTCTGGCTCCGTCTCTCCCTCCTGCTCAGAGAACCCTTGGTTCCTCCTCCCCAATGGAGCACGGAGGAAGCCCACTCAGCCTCCTCCTGGGAGCCCTGCCTCCTCCTGGGAGCTTTCCCTGACTGCCTGTCTGGCCTCCCTGAGCTCATGACCAGATACCTCCTGAGCCACCGTGCGGCCCCTCCCGCAGCAGGCGGCCCACGAGAACTCACCGACGTAGAAGGTGTTGGGTGCAGGCCTGTCGCCCAGCTCCAGGTAGAGCAGGCTGGTGGTCTGCGGGTCATGGCGCAGCCACAGGGCCACGCCCAGGATCACGCCTCCGGCCAGCTGGGGAAGGGACAGGGCAGGTGTTAGCTGTGGCCCAGGCCGCAGGGCAGGTGCGAACCGCAACACACCGCGTGTGAGCCGCAACACACCCCGTGTGAGCCCCAACACACCGCGTGTGAACCGCAACACACCGCGTGTGAGCCCCAACACACC